GTCTTCTAGTTTCTAAGGGAGCGGGAACCAGATTGTTTCTCCAAGGTCTGGGGGGTGAGAGGCAGACTGTGGAGTGGGTATGACTCAGCTGTGGAATATGGAAGCCCCTAGGGTCCTTGGCTGCAAGAGGAGGAGGAAGCAGTGAGTCAGTCTGAGTCTATTGACATCTGGAGGATTGCATCTGCCCTAGGAAGCACAGTTTGGGGTGGCAGTGATGGGCTGACAAGGGTCCGAAGAGGACAACCAGGATGGGAAAGGGCCTTGATGCCACCTCAAGTGAGGAGCCTGGAGAAGAGAAGGGCCGAGGTCTGTCTCTCAAGGGTTTTCCTAGGAAAGACAGAGGAGTTTTATCCGTTTGGCCCCAGTGGGCAGAACCTGGAGCTCCAAAAGGCAGAAGTTTCAAAGAAGCAACTTGGGCTGGAGGTCAGGAAAACTACAAACCAATAAACAAGCTTCTTAGTAATTCAAGTTGTCCAGAGAGGGCCTGGTTGGCTTTGGAAGGCTGGAAAGCAGAGGCTGAATGGAGGCTCTTTGAATGTTCTTTGCTGAGCACAAGCTGGACCAGGGCCTCACAGGTTCCTACCAGCTTGATCATTCTGTGACCTTGGGAATCCTTCCTCAGGCCTGGGTTCAAAACCTGCCTCTGACACTTACTAGCTTTAGGACCCTGGGCAACTCTGGGCCTGTTTCCTCTTGTTGACAATTAACCTGGAGTTTCTCCTTCTGGAAAACCATTTGGAATCATGCAAATAATTTGACGCCCTTTGCACAGTGGCTATAGCTGCTGCCAATGTGAAGAACCCAAGGGATGCCTGGGGCCATTGGTGGTGCTGTGGCTAATCGAATCCCCTGCCAAGCTCTGCATGTCTCCCTTTTCTACTTGGTAGGCAGGTGGAATAGGGGTAGACAGTGGAGAAACAGAGAAAGAGAGGAAGGAGAAAACAGACAAATCTGACCAAGGTGGCCCGGATCTCCCTCCCTTTTGTGATAGCTGGCTTCCATAGAATACAACATTCTTTTTCACCCAACTCTAGATAATATCTTTGCTGTGACATAACTAGAGGGCTTTTTAAAAGTCTCAAATAAATAGAATTGAAAATAGAGCATTTTAAGAGACGTACATTCCATCTTTTAAAGGGAAAAAAATCCCAGATAAGTGACTTTTTGGGAAAGCACAGTATGTGTTGCAAATACCTTCAGGGGATTGCATTTAATCCAGTGAAAAGTAGGTCAGCCCTTCCAAGATCAATTCCTAATCAAATGCCTGCTCTGTCCTCTGGTAATATTTATTTCTGACTCTTTCATTAAGGCTGTCCTGGGTTTCTTGCACAAACAGCTGAGTCCCCCCCCACCAATGCCAAGCCCTGTAGCACATTGGAGAGGTTAGGGTGAAAGGGAAGACGAAAGCCTTTCTTGGTAATGGGGGCCTGGTGACCTGTAGCCCTGGTACTCAGATATTCAATTTTACTAACCGCATCTGGAAAATTTGGGTAACATAATCTGTAAAATTACAAGGAAAAATGCATTTCTTTGATCAGCTCCCTTTTGGGGGGGGCTCTCCTGAGATTCCCCTAAAGTTTGAATCCAGGGATGAGACAAAGCTGCATGAAGCTTGTCAGATGAGGCTGGGCCCTTCTATGCGCTTTGTCAGGCCTGGGGACTCACACAGCTGACTTGTTAGAAATAACTGGACTAGGTCTATTATCCCCATTTTACAGATGAGAAAACTATGGCAAATATAGGTTAACTGATCAGTAAAGGATACTAATTATAACACACAGAATTGATCCTGCTGCCTTCAGGCTGGGCATGCATGAAACAGTCACCTATGAGCCCCAGAATAGCGGGGATTCACTTGAGCTGCCTCAATCATCAACACCACCCACGGTGTTCTGCACCCATGGTCAACATGGCCAGAGGGAATGGAACAACCAAGGGCTGCTCTGAATGGCAGAATTTCAGAGGTCAAAGGGACCTTAGTGACTAGTTAGGTGGAGCTCTACCTGAATGGAAAGCCCATCTGCAACAAGCAGGTCCTCCAGCTTCTGCTAAAAGACTCCCAGGCCTGGGGAGTCCCATTCCCTGAAGCAGCCCACTCCACTTTTGGCAACTCTAGTGCCCCATACGCTGAGCCTAGGTCTTTTTCTCTGTGACTTCTCACAACTTCTCCATTCATTCCATCTCTATGCATCAACCCCTCCCTACAGTTATTAATCAGACAATCAGCTGGGACTTGGATTGCTTCCTGGTCCTTTCCTCTTTACAGGACAGTGCACGTGGTGGTAGAGGAGACAGCAAGGAGGGAGGGAGATCATGGTACTAAAACTGAAAGGACAAACAAAGTATCCATAACACTCCAAGCAAACAAGCTAGACAGATGGCAGCAACATCTGGAAGAGCTGGAGGAGCGGTTTTTTTTTATTATTTTATTTTACTTTATTCTCTGTGTATATAATTCACATTTACATGATGTTATATAGTTTATAAAATGTGTTTCTCATCACAACCTTGTGAGGTGGTATTATTATTATACCCATATGACAGATGAGAAAACTGAGACTCAGAAAGGCTGAGTAACTTGCCCAACTTTATCTATAGTAGGTTAGGGACAGAGCTCGGACAAGCACTCAACTCTCTTGACTCCAAATCTAGTATTGTGTCCACTAGGCCAGTGGTTCTCAAATGTTTTAGTCTTAGGACTACTTTGTATTTTAAAATTATTGAGAATACTATCCCTCCCTCAAAGAACATTTGTCTATGTGGTGGTATCTTTCAATATTTACCATATTAGAATAAAAAATCTTAGCTTTATTTTGAAAAGAGTTTGGACCTCACAGACTTCCCCCTGGAGGACCCCCCCCCCCAGACATCCCTGACCCACACTTATACAGCCCTGGCACTAGACCATTGATCACAATCACTCTAACCCTAACCCTAACCTAGACCATAGAGCAAGGAAGACCTGCTAGTTAAAGGAAGATATGTCTTCTTTGGGAACATTTCTTGCAACTTTCCCTCCACCTAAAGACTTGGTTGCAGGAAGAAAGAACGATTTTCATTGTGCTTATTTTTAAACCTGAGGCTGACTCACTGGAAAATCCCACCATTAACAAACTTCCCACTTTGGCAATATTATATTCAAATTTACAACACTGCCTCTTCCCTCAAAATTCTCGAGCCAAAAAAGAACAATATGAAAAATGAATTTTTGCAACTACAAGGAAAGAATTCTAAGCATAGCAATGAATTAATGAGGAGGACTATTTGTTTTCTCTTAGGCTAGATTTACTCTCATAGTTTTTGCAGAATGTTTAGCGGGTTTCTATTATTATAAACAACGATCTGCCTTAAGATGACTTTAAGCAATGCACCTAAATTATATGAACATGCTCTTAATTAATGGTACTTGATATAGAACCATTAGCTAATGCTGATAGGATATTATAATTTAGGAAAGTAGCACCAATCCAAAGAATTACAGTTTAGCTTCATTATTGGTATTATTAATATGTATAAGGGAAATGTTTACAAGTTGCCACATTATCAGCATCTGCTGATCTATTAAGAAACATCATTGCATTTGGAGACATGTTTTCAGTTCTCCATACATAAATATTTCCCTCTCAGCCTAATCATGGAATTAATTCATAAATACTTTAAAATTAGATGTTACCCATAAAATCTCAACTGATACTGTACCATCTTAATTTAGCTTTTGTGGGGCAATTACAGGAACCAAAATTATGTATCTCTGATATAAAAGAATTGATGCTTCAAAATTATCCCAAACCAGCTTATCCCTAACACATAAAGAAAAAAGAAGAGATTGTAGGGAGAAAAGTCTGTGCATAAACAACTTTGAATTTTCTTGAATTTTGCTATCTGAATGTATGTACCTCATTAGAGGAAGCAATGTTCCCCAAAAAGTGTCTGGGAATTGAAGTCATATTTGCAGGGAAAACTACAGCATATCCCAGCATCTCAGAGCTGGAATCAAGGCTGACCCAGACCTGATCAAGAATCCCCCAGCCAACATCCCTGGGGAGCAGGCAGCCAGTCTTTAGTGGAATTTTTGAAAGCCAAGAGAATGCTTTCAGGTGAACCACACATTCACCATTTTGTGCTCAGGCACTGATTTTTTGAACCCAACAAGAGTACTTACTAAATTAATTTTGATTAGATTTGACCCAAAGAGTCCATTGAGCTCATTCTACAACTGTAGAGGTCATCTATTCCAAGTTGTTTCTGAACAGGAGTCAAGGTGACAAGAGGCCTCAGCAGTGTCCATCTGTCTAAATGGCCTCTCACAACAGGGAAGCCACCCTCACTCCTCACCCCCTAAAGGAGCACATTTCACCCTGGGAATGGAATGATTGTTCAGGCATTTTTCCTTCCATAGAACTAAAGCCTACCTGTCTACTACTTCCAACCTCTTGTTCCTGATTTTTCACCCCGGGGGGGGGGCGGCAGCGTTAAACAAAGCAAACCTAACTCTTCTCTCTGGTGACATCTCTTTTAGGTCATCAAACATGGCTGGTGCGCAAATCCTGAAGCTTCTATTCTCCACAATCCCTTCCCTAGAGCCTCACATGCCAGGGATGTTTTTAAGTCCTTTCAATATCTGCATCATCCTTGTCTGGAATGTTTCCATTTATCAGAGTCTTCCTTGACATGTGACATGTGACACTGAGAGAATCACAGAATCTGAGGACAGAAGCCTTCAAAGGCCAGCTGAGCAAAGTTGCCTGAGAAACCATAACCCAACCTTGTACTGAAGATGTGGGGGTGATCTGCTGGAGAAGAAGGAGGGGATGGCAGAGGCCTAGGCCTTGATGAGGAAGCAGCTAGGTAGTTCAGTGGACAGAGCTCTGAACCTGGAATCAGGAAGACCTGAGTGTAAATTCAACTTCAGATACTTACTAGCTGTGGGACCCTGGGCAAGTCACTTAACCTCTGCCTTAATCCACTGGAGAAGGAAAGAGCAAACCACTCCAGTACCTTTGCCAAGAAAACCCCATTGACAGCACTTGCATGCTATAGTCCATGGGGTCACAAGAAGAGTTGGATAGGACTGAAGGCCTGAAGAGATAGGCTTCTTCTTCATCAGACGCTAGAGGAAAGGAGAGAATGGATGATAATGTCAAGGGGTTTGGGGAGGTAGAGAAGGGGAGAAGAGTGAGCTTTCTGGAAGAATAGCCTCTCTTGTCTCAATAATGATGAGGTCTGGTCCTCAACTGAGAGGACACATGGGAGGCTTAAGGGAGAAGAAGGTCTGGAAGATCTCACTGTACCCTCCATTAGGGGAAGTAACAAGTACATAGTAAGTCAATGTAAAGCTGAGGGGGAGAGCTAACACACTGGATGTCAGAATCAGTCAACCAACAAGCATTCATGAAGCATCCATGTGTCAGGCAAGTTTCATAAAGACTATGACAGGCTGGGAGGGGGGGAGCTGCAGCCTCAAGGCAGCCTTTGGACTGAGTCCAAGTTTTACAGAACAAATCCTTTTACTAAGGGAACTAGTTCTGTGAACTTTGGGTTCAGTCAACAGGCCATACTTGAGGACCGAGGGGGGCATATATGGCCCACCCCGGGATAGAGCATTTGCCAGTTCTAATAAGATGAGTTTCAACAGTCTACATTGCAGAGCTGGTGTCTGAGGGCCTGAATGCCTGAGAACCAGCAGCAGGAACTGGAGATGGGGCCAAGGAAGAAGTCTCTCTGGATCCCAAAGTCTCTAAGTTTGACACCAACTCCAGTAGAATGTGGGTCTCTTCTACACAGACTCATAAGAACCTTCAAGTAAGTGACAGTAAACATGGGAAATGTGAAATACACTGCTATACTGGACAGTGGATCCCAGATGACCATTGTGGTCCAGGTTTTCACTAAGAGACACTTTAAAAAAAAATTCCAGCAGCAGCTATGAAAGGGTCAATTCTTTGGACAAGGCAGCCAGGACTAACCATCCCTGGCCTACATGAGATGGTAAGGAGGTCACTAGCATTGATGGGTAAGAGGATCCTATTGACCCAGAGAATACGGGTTCTGACATCTCCACATTGTCTGCAACTGGCTCTACTTATTCAAGATGTAAGATGCAATCAAAATAATTTTTTTTAAAAAATTTTAAAAAAAGATGTAAGATGAATACTATAAATGGCTAGCTGGGAATCCATACCAGAATGTTTGGCTCTCCCTCATTTGCTCAGAAACATAAAAGAAAATAAAGCAAGAGGTGGCAGAAAATGCCTTTCACTAACTACAGGATAGGGCCAAAGACACTTATCTCCAGTGACTGCCCAGTGACTGAGAATGGAAGATTGGCATGACCAGAAATTCGGCCCTAGCATGCCTTCAGATGGGTTCACTGGCAGGTCCAATGATACCTGCCCTGATCCAGTCTGTCATCAGGAAGCCAGTCAGCAGTGTAACATGGTTGGGGCAGGGGGAGGTTGGCAAGAGAAGAAGGAAGTGGGGATCGTACTCATAGCTTAGCCCAGGGCCAAAGCCAGCATCATAACTGCTAGGCTGGCTGAGTTCCCATGGCTCACACTGCCGGACTAGATTGAAGACTCCACTCCCTCCTATTTATTGGAAGCTGCAAGGCCTGAGAGATGGGGTGGGGAGTTGGGAGCAGGGAAGCCTTAAGGCCCTTTCCCCCCCATCAGATGGTCTCACTGACTGTGAAGGAGTCAGCTTCCTTGTCAGACATGACTGCAACAAAAACTCTGGCCATAGCTGACTCTGCCCCTTTTACTCATGTCAATAATGCCAACTACACATTCAATGGAAAAAGGCTCTTCTCTGCCACACGGTAGGCCAACAGAGAGCCAATTGTGTTCCAAGTCTCCAGTCTCTAGAAACAGCTTCCTAATATCTTCTGTGTAGATGACACCATCTTGGCAAGCTGATGTCTTCACATGTGCCAGAGCCCCCAACCTTGCACTCACACTTATTAAGCACCTACTATGTGCCAGGTACCACGCTTAATACTTTGGATCAGTGGAAAGGCAAATACAGAACCTGCTGTCAAGGAGCTCACCATCTAAAGGGGAAACCAACTTGCAAACATCTCCGTTGCTGTTGGTCAGTTGTGTCTGACTCTTCATGAGGACGTTTGGGGTTTTCTTGGCAGACACTAGGCTGGTTTGCCATTTCCTTCTCCAGTGGATTAAGGCAAACAGAGGTTAAGTCATGCAATCCAGTCAAGACGGTATTTCCTATTTTACTGGGCAGTATCTGATCACTACTAGCATTTTTCCACTGGTCCAACCCATCAGGTCTGGGCCCTCTGCTAATGGTGGCTGGCTTGACTCTCCAACTGTTGAATCCTGACTCTTTTGGCTTGACAGCCAAAGCTTCTGCTGTTAGCCATTGATACTGCAGTGGCCTCAACCACCACTTCCAGGCCAGCGGCCTTCCAGGAATCCATAAGGTCACTTCCAGGTCTTCTGACTCAACAGCCAGTTTGGACACTCTTTGCCACTTGCCACTGAGGACCCTTGAGTGGCTGCAAGTTGGGTTCATCTAAGGTTCCATGTGGTCAACAAGAACCAGCTGTACATGGTCTATGCACCCCACCAGGCAGGACCCACCTGAAGACAACTCATGGCTCTGCTCCACTCACATGAGGATACCTTCTTAATGTACAACACTACCATGCCTTTCCTTCCTCGTTTTACATATCTGGTTTATTTTGAATAAGGCACAGACATCCAGAGTCATATCCTGGTTTCTGGTTTCATTCGGCTAAGTCTCAGTGAAACCTGAGGTTCATTTTGGCTCCTTGCAGAAAGGCCCCCAATTCCTCTTGCTTGTTACCTAAATTCTGGACATTTCTACACAGACTTTTGAGGCCATGGGTTTTACCACTGGCTTCTTTCTCAGATTTTGTTCCCTGTGACCTTGTATTTCAATTGCTGTTCTTCTAAGGCAACTAGATGGTGCAGTGGAGAGACTGCTGGGATTAGAGTCAAGAAAACCTGAGTTCAAATCCTGTCAGATATTTACTAATTGTGTGACCTTGGATATGTCATATAACATCATTTGCCCCAGTTTTCTCGACTATAAAATAGGGATAATAACAATAGCTACCTCGCCGAGTTGTAGTGAGTCTCAAATGAGATAATTTTGTAAAGCTTAGCACAGTGCCTGGCATACCATTGGCATTGGATATTTAAAATAATATTAGCATTTAATATTAAGAATGCTCATTTCCTCCCTTCTTCCTTTGTTTTAGCCATTCTCTAGGGTATCTAGTCCAGGTGATATACACAAAAAATTCTCTTCCTCCCTGTCCCTTTAAGTTTGAAGGACTTTTGGTTAGATTTGTAAGATACACAGTCACTACTACATTCTTAGCAAGCTTTGTTATATGTTCTCCATCTCTGGCCAGGCACCTGCCAATCCTGAATTTTAAGCTGTGGTCCAGAACCCTAAATCTCATCCTCAAGTACTACCTTCTTTGTCAATTATTTATTTTCCACTGTAGGTTTTCTCTTCTGCCTCCCTTGGTTTCAATGAATAAACCACCAGGAAAACACATCCTGTGCCTTTTTGTCTTCAGTTTCTTGCACAATACTTTTTACATGTTGGTAATTCTTGTTAGGTTCCCCCAGCACAATCATTTGTGGCCACATGAATCATCAGAAGGGACTAATATTTGTCTATTTTGATAAGCCCTTGGAATTTCTTTCACACCCTGGGAGAGTGGGAGCTGGTGGGTAAAATCTGCCAAAACATACTATTGGTCAAAAAAGCATGTGTCCAAGGGCAGGGCATTTCTTATAATTCAGTCAGTCATCAGTTTGAGCATTTGGAAGCATTTATATAAATACTGCATGTACTTGAACGATATTGTGATATCTTCCTTACTCTAAATAGGTCTATTTTGTGTCAGGTGTCATCACAGAAATTTCAGCCATGTGGATCCTGCCTCCACTGACAGAGATCTGAAGCCCTTAATAGGTAAAGGAATTATTATTAACAATAATTATTAAAATAGCTAACATTTATGTTTTAAGTTTTGCTAAGTGTCTTTATGTACATTATACCTCTCTCTTTTTTTTTTTCAGGTTAAGAAATGGCTTCCTGGGCAGAGAATCACAAAACACCAAGACTGTTCTTCCTCTAACCTTTTTTTTTTTTTAAATTAATTTTATTTTGTTCAATCAGCAAAAGAAATATGCCTTCTCTGGACTCCAGAAATACCTGGAAAGACTTATGTGAAGCAATATTGAGTGAAGTGAGCAGAACCAGAAGAACATTGTACACAGTAGCAGCAACATTGTGTGATGACCAGCTTTGATAGACTTACCTCTTCTCAGCAATGCATGATCTAAGACAGTTCCAAAAGACCCATGATGGAAAATGCTATCCACATCCAGAGAAAGAACTATGGAGTCTGAATGCAGATCAAAGCATACTCTTTTCTCTTTTGTTGTTGTTTTTTTTTTCTCTCTCACTTTTTTTTTCCTTTTGTTCTGATTCTTCTGTAACATGACCAATGTAGAACGTATAGCATAGAAAATGAAAAATTTAAATTTAAAAATGCCTTCTCTCTTCCCCTACTCTCCTCAAGAAAGAAAAAAAAACAAAGACACTTGTTGGAATTATGTATAACCAATTAAAATAATTTCTCTCATGATCATCTCCAAAAAAATATATATCTCAATCTACACTCTGAGTTCCTTACCTTTCTATCATGAGTTGGGTAGCATGTTTCATTATGAGTCCTCTGGAATCATGGCTGGGCATTGCATAGATCAGAGTAGCTAAGTTTTTCACAGTTAATCATCCTTACAATATTGCTGTTACTACGTGCAATGTTCTCCCGGTTCTGTTCACTGCACTTTGCATCAGTTCATACAAATCTTCCCAGGTCTTTCTCACACAAGCCCCTTTACCATTTCTTACAACACAATAATATTATATCCAATGTGCATGACGTAAGAGTGAAAATGTGCTTCTCAAGTCCCTTTTTCTGCAGGAAGGTGATCATCCTATTAATGGAATATACAGAGCAGTGGCTTAGTTTTGGCAAAACTTTTAAAAACCATTGCACATTTAATGCAAGGCAGCACAAATCCCTACTGAACTTTACACTTAGTGGGATTTATAGCCTTGTTTTTTTTTTTTTCTGAACTACTTGTGGGTATTTACCTGTCACCTCCTTGTACCTCATTAAGACCTTTAGAACCTATGATTCTCTTAGTTACATGACTGTTTCAGCCAGCTTTCTTTCCTTAGTCTCAACAATGCCACCACTACATCTCTCAGGCTCCTCCCTCACAAGAATGTCTGAGCAATTCACCAGTTTAAGCCACTCACCAATACATTCTACTATTTAGCTTTTCCATTCTACCTCTCTTGCATTACAACCTTTCCTTGCCAACTACCTTCTCCTTTCTCTTCTCCTTAAGTCTGGCCCATCTTTGAGACTTCTTCCTTTAGATTCTTCTCCTAATCCTCCTTAACTCTGTTCCTCCATGTTCATTCAACCTGCTCTCAGTCAAGGACCTGGGAGAGTGGGAGCTGGTGGGTAAAATCTGCCAAAACATACTATTGGTCAAAAAAACATGTGTTCAAGGGCAGGGCATTTCTCATAATTCAGTCACTCATCAGTTTGAGCATTTGGCAGCATTTATATAAATACTGCATGTACTTGGACGATATTGTGATATCTTCCTTACTCTAAATAGGTCTATTTTGTGTCAGGTGTCATCACAAGTACCAGTAGCCTTTTGCTACCTCACCTCCTCAGACCCTATTCCAGCATGCTCTCTGTGGCCCTGTTGACCTGGGCTGATTTTGTAGCTAAAGAATCTGGCTTTTTTTCCCTTTCTTCTTTACGGAAGGCTTTCTTCTACTGAGACGCCTCCCCGAAATGAATTCTTCCTTATAGAAAAGGGATTATGTCTCACATTCCCCACATGAATGTATAAAACCATATCCTAAGTTTAAAAGCTTGACAATTAACATCAGAATGTATCCAGCCTTAAGATTGGATTCCTTTCCCATCTCAATTTGTATTTAGATTGACCTCATGTGCCTGTATGTACATGCAGACGATTATATTTGTATGTGTACATACATGCATGTGTATGCAGAACAAGACAAGAACCAGACTGCTAGCAAAAAACAGAGAAATATGATGTTTCTACCCAGCTAAGGGTTTCTATGCAGAGTTGTTTTCTTTGTAAATACTAGGTGTCATCTCCAGGTGACTCTTTCCTAACACTAGCCAGTAAGAAGGAACAGTTCCACCCTCACCCCTGTGGTTATGTCTTGCTCTACCAAGTTAGGGGCAGGGGCAGTAGAATAGCAATCTCTTTATGATTCACAGAGTGCCGTGTTTGAATTTCTCCACAGCTTCCCCTTCTGGGAGTGGAGAAATTCAGAGTCCAGGCCCACTCAGAGCACCTCCCCTGTAACATTCAACTCATTGCCTGAGGTTGGAAGGAAGTCCATGGCTGGTTGAGGGCAGGTGAGGGGCTCCAGAACAGGGTCTGCTTCCCAAGACACCCCTTTTCCATTCAGAGTTCTATTGCATGCAACAATGGCCACCCCACTATCTGTCTGCTGCTTTCCTTGCTGCTCATGGGTTGGGCTGACTCTGAGGACGGTGCAGATAAGGGCAGGCCCACCTCAGAGCAAGAATGTCCCTTCCCTGCTCCCCATTTGGACATCTCTTTCCCTCCTTTGTCCTTGAGTATCCCTCCCCCTCCTTCTTGGCCAAATATCAGGCCCATGGCACTTCTTGAAATCTTCAAATTGGTGCCAGAACTTGACCAATTCCTGCCAAAGGGGAGGGGCCAAAGAATGATAGGGCCCTGACATCTTTTCAGTGGCATTAGCAACTCTGCCTAATTTCAACATTTGATCCCTAGTTGAATCTAAAATATCATCTCCAGTAAGCACCTAGACCACGTTTGGGGAACCTGCAGCCTCAAAGCCATATGTGGCCCCCTAGGTCCTCAAATGGGGCCCTTTGGCTGAATCCAAACTTCACAGAACAAATCCCCTTAATAAAAGGATTTGTTCTGTGAAGTTTGAATTCAGTCAAAGAACTCCACTTAAGGAGCTAGAGGGCCCATATGTGGCCTCAAAGCTGCAGATTCCCCACCCCTGACCTAGACTATACTTCCAAAGATCAGAAATTTCACCCATGTGGATCCTGCCTCCACTGACAGAGATCTGAAGCCCTTAATAGGTAAAGGAATTATTATTAACAATAATTATTAAAATAGCTAACATTTATGTTTTAAGTTTTGCTAAGTGTCTTTATGTACATTATTCATTTGAGACTCACAACAGCCCTAGAAGGCAGGTGTTATTACTGTCCTTATTTTACATATAAGGAAACTGAGGCACAGAGAGGTTATGTGACTTGCCTAAGGTCACAAAAGTATTAAGTGTCTAAAGCAGGATTCAATCTCAGGTCTTCTGTACTCTATCCATGCCCCACCTAGCTACTCCTGCATGGTTATGAGTTGAATTGGCTAAAAAAAAAAAATAAATGGCACCCAACCCTGGGTGAGGAGCCTCTCCATGTCATCATCTCCCCAATATCATGGTCCTCTTCAAGAATGAAGGACAAACACAACCTATGAGTAGTCCAACCTGCTGGAATGGGGACCCAGCTGACCAGTACCAGTTGGGCAACTCAGCTCATCCTCTCCCCTCCCTTCCTGCCACCTGTCCTCTCCCTTTACCTGAGAGTTTCTGCTCAAAGGAAGGTAAATTTTGATGGCCAAACACTGCCTAGTTACCTTAGGGTTTACTGGCTAGATTTCTTTCTCAAAGACCAAATCTTAAACCCAATTCACTCTGGAGACCATAGATTGGACAAGAAGAGGTCCCTGCCCAAGCACCACTTCATGGTTATTTTTTGGACCCTTCTGGCTCAGAGTGAATATGTAAATAGTAACTTTCTCTTTTGGCCAGAAACCCTGAGGGTGTTCCCCTCCCAGTTTGAATTTTTTTTTTTTAATTAAAAGGGCCATCCCTTGACTCACTTCTTAAAGAAGCCTATTCACTGAATGGGCGTTCCCTCACTCAAAGTAAGAACCTGGAAAGACCTTAGCTTAAAAGGGCCCCCCACTGCATCCTGGGCCATTTCCAGTCACCCTGATGAAAATCTGGCCCCTGGACCCAGATGGCTCTGGAGGAGAAAGTGAGGCTGGTGACCTTGCACGGCCCTCCCTCACTCAAATCAAAGTCAATTGCAAGTCATGCCATCACCTCCCTGATGTCATGGTCCTCTTTGAGAATAAAGGACAAGCACAACAACAACAAAGTCTAGCATGGTCTAGCACATTCTATCTTTCTATGCTTGGGCTACAACCCAAGTCTTTCCAATTTGAGGGAGAGACAAGAGAGACAAGAAAGATACAGAGACAGAGAGTGCTCGCTCACACTTCATTGACAGTGTTTAAGATCATTTCAGGTTCACCTCCATACCACAGTCAGAAAAGAAACTGAGGAACTATAGCTTCCAATCTTTTCTCAAATGTTTCACAATCACTTGATTATTTGTCCCTTTATAATGGGAAGCTCTTTAGAGGAGTCTTAGGGGCCAAGGTTAAGTGAACAAAGCTGAGACTTTCCTTGTCTTTCAGTGAGGCATTCAAGCAGAGCAGAGCACTATTGGCCTGGGATGAGCAATCTTTGAGAAGAGCTCTAGGCAGTGACTAGGCAACAGAAAATCAACCATATGGAACGACTGGATTTTCAACTGATTATAGGGATGTGAAGGTGCTGTATCTGCCTGTAGGGTACCAATCACAGATCCAATGTCATGCTGAGCAGATCAAAGAGATCTGGTTGGACACTAAAATCTCATTAGAATCAAGGCTTTAGACTAGTATGGTCTAGGCCAGAGGAGACCAGTTCTGTGTGACCTTAGCATAAAAGAAGTCAAGAGTTGCTGGGCAGTATTAAAGAGAATCCCCCCTGCAGGGATTGTGAGAAGTTATTCTTCACTTTTAATGCTTCAGAAAAATACTGAAATAAGAAAAACAATGCCATTGCTTTACTTATTTTAAATTTGCATGTTGCTATAAAAAATTTTCATTTACCTAAAATCCTTTAATGATCCCAACTAAGAAGATATTCCTATTTGTTATTTCATTAAGTATTTAATTATGTTGCCCCCTTGCTAGAAGCTGTCTCCAATTTATATGAATTATACTTAGTAACATTTACAGTCAAAATGTGTTTATATTAAAAACCCATACTACCCATGTACAAGATGGCAAGATGTAGCTAGATAGG